TGGTCAAAGGCTAAAATCCCAAACTGTATTATGAAATAGACCATTTGCCCCAATTACCACTTTATTGAAATTATACGAGTAAAAAGTTTTATTGGTCACCCAACTTAACACAATGTCACGTTGTGGTCACTGAACTTAATTTTGCATCTGCACAGTGACTGGACTTACACGAAGTGAGCTCCATCCGTCACTCCAAGAAAATCCGTTTGAAGCTCGTCTGAGGTGGCGTAACGGCATCCCCGGTGGCAAGAGACGGCGTGAAATCTTCAGCCACGTAATTCCCTTTTCCCGTCTTCAGCCTGTGGAACCTTCAAATCAACCTACCCATTTCCCCTCATTTTGAAATCGCAGACCCTAAACCAATTCCTTCAACAATCTCCCCCAATTCAATTGTTCCAGAAGCACGGAAATCCAGTTCTTGCTTGGTGTTATTTGAGCCCCTTTAATCCCTCTTCCAATCCGCTGTGATCAAAATGTTGTTATGGACAACATTAAAGATCGTCCCATTGTAAGTCATGCCCTTATTTTAATCTTTAAAATCTCTTAAGATCGTGTTTGTTTTCTTAGGTACAATTTCATGTATTTTGAAGTTTTTGTATTTGATTCTGGTTCATCGTGTTTGATGAGATGCCTCACTGAATAAATTATCTGTATGCATGAGGCTTCAATGGCGAAATATATAGTGCAACAGTATATAGCAGTTGCAGAAGGAGAATGCGCGTTGAATTCGATTCATAGCATGTATGCAATAGGGAAGGTGAAGATGGCTGCACCAGAATTTGTAGCTGGAGAGCACGCACTTGAGTTTGAACAACAGCAAGGCTATGAAAATTAAAAAAGCATGGGCCTGGAGAGATGGGAAGATTTGTATTGTGGAATGAACACAAAGTCGTTGCTAGAAGTTCTTTGTCTTCCATTGTACACCATCCCCAGCACCAGGTGACTTTCAACATAAACTCCGATGTGAATTTTGAGATTTTCGTTCATTTAGGTTGTCATCAGTTTCAGCAAGGGAAAAGGACTTACGGAGGATAAAGGGAAAGAGAAGGGAATAGCTCCAGGAATTCTTTCGTTTTAGTAGTTCTCTTTGTTTGTAATCATGCTTTTGGAGTTGATGTATGTACTGATGCAGCTTTTGTATTTTATGTAGCTTTATCTATTTTGCTGTTGGACACTGAGTCGAACCAGAATGTCTGTATTGTAGCTTTTGAAGTTAATGTAGTTGCTTTTGTGTCTTTGCATCTTTTGGAGTTAATGGAGTTTGCTACTAGTACATGAATTTGCTACCAGCATGACCTGGTGTGCATATTATCCTTCTATTCTCTTTGTTTAGCACGTTTTCCCTGTGATATCATTAATCAAGAGGAGAAGAAACGAAGCGCCTCTGATGTCCTCGTTACAACACATCAATTTGGTTTTTAAGCCATTAAGTTCAATTATGGAATGCACTGATAATTCTTTGGCTCCTACCATTATTTGTCTAAGCACCATCCTGGCTCACCATGCATACTTGTTGACGGTTTCCAATTTCTTCTTAAAGCAAAAGGCATCACGATCTATGAATTATAATAAATTGAACACACTTTCAAGCTGCAAATTTGATTCACAATGAAGCAAGAAAGATTGCAACTAAAAGAAAGATAGTCACTATTTATAGATTTGCGTCACTAAATTACAAGCGACCATTAATCTAAATAACAAAATTTCCCATTTCAGTTGACAAAAAGGTCACAGTAGCGAAAACTTTTTTCCTTATTTCAGTGGAGCCCAAAGACGCTGCTATTCCGTTGGAGTATTAATCTGCCCATGTGCTATTGTATGAATACCGCAGGGAAGTGGCTGTCGAAGTATTTGCAATTCGTCTATGTTGTGCCCTTTCCACTCTCAATGTTTGAAGATTCAGCCTCATCTATGTCTTGCAACGCATCAACCAAAGTGGCTGCTGGTCCAGATCGAAGCATCCCTGTCTGCGTTTCTCTCGCAACCATAGGTGTGGGCTTGAATTGCATTTGATGTTTCTCATGCACGTGTTGGCTCAATGAGCCCTTCCCTCTTGCGGCTACCATTTTACCCTATAAAATCAAACCGTAATGTCTAATATCGACCAGATTTGGTGAAGTAAAAAGTACTCAGTTGATGTGTACTTACTTGTGCGTTAACCGCTAAGTTGCAAGGCGATTCAATTGATTCTAATTCAGCTTCTACCCAGTCTTGTTCCAAAGAAAGCAATTGAACATTAACATACACATTAGTTTCAGATGGCAGCACATTGCCTAAACCAACATTAGTATATCAGTCACAGTCCCCAAGCAGGCAATGACATGTACAAAAGAAACAAATTCTACATAATAAACCTTACATTCAATTAGAAAGGATTATACTTACATCAACTGGCCCATCCTCCCTGAAATGATATAGTTTATTGTGTCCCCTCAACCTACAGATCGAGCACGTCATTGTCACAGTCCTCTTTTTTCAAAGAAATCGAAATCTCAATTTCCCTAAGATTTTTAACATATAACTAAATCAACGTAATTGTTCAGTCAATATCTAAACAATCTTGAAACTTTAAATTTTCACTTTATTCCAATATCGAAGAGAGGTGGCACTGATGCAGATAAAAAAATGATAAAAGAAGCCAAAATTGACAATTAGATGGCAAAACCAGAGGGAATTTAGATGAAAGATTTAAGGGATGAGCAACACCTCATTTTTGGATTCATTAGCAAGCGAAATGCATAATGCTTTCCCTTTAATCTTTGGCATGATTTCTTGTTTTAATTAACAAGTCAATACCACTCTTTGTCCTCTTCACATTAATTGCCTCTCCAGAAAGCAGTCAAGGAAGAAACAGCAAAAAGAAGATGGATATTTACGTGAGAGAGGAGAGAGGTGATTGTAGGTACGTATACAGTTGACTGATAAATGAGCACTCATCCAAATAACATGTTGGCTGGAATTTAAAACCCGGCCAATTATCCATTAGCAAATTCTCATTCAAACCAGTACATGGAAATTAAGGGCATTACCTCTTTCGTACAAGGGCCAAAATTGAAGAAACACCTGGGTCTGGTGTTACTTGGACGACGACTTCAGCCAATCTTGAATTTTGGAACAATCGAATTGGGGAAGATTGTTGAAGGAATTGGTTTAGGGTTTGCGATTTCAAAATGAGGGGAAATGGGTAGGTTGATTTGAAGGTTCCACAAGCTGAAGACGGGAAAAGGGAATTACGTGGCTGGAGTTTTCACGTCGTCTCTTGCCACCGGGGATGCCGTTACGCCACCTCAGACGAGCTTCAAACGGATTTTCTTGGAGTGACTGATGGAGCTCACGTCGTGTAAGTCCAGTCACTGTGCAGATGCTGGGTGACCAATGAAACTTTTTACTCGGGAAATGGGTAGGTTGATTTGAAGGTTCCACAAGCTGAAGACGGGAAAAGGGAATTACGTGGCTGGAGTTTTCACGCCGTCTCTTGCCACCGGGGATGTCGTTACGCCACCTCAGACGAGCTTCAAACGGATTTTCTTGGAGTGATTGATGGAGCTCATGTCGTGTAAGCCAGTCACTGTGCAGATGCAAAATTAAGTTCAGTGACTACAACGTGACGTTGTGTTAAGTTGGGTGACCAAAGAAACTTTTTACTCAAATTATACCTCTTTTTTACTTTCTTTAAATTAAAACTCTATTTTTCATATTAATCTTCAACAACATATTCTCACGATAAAAATATTTTGCATATAATTCAATATATTTTCCTATATTTTAATCACACTTTTTCAAAAAATAACTATTCAAAATATTTTTTTCTCACAATTTTTCTTTATAATGATCATCAAATATTAACTTTTCTATCAAAACTCCCAACTTGTTAAAATCGCTTCTTATTGACCCTTGAATCCAACTCCAATTTTTTTTTTTTTACTTTTTTTAACGTTAAATTCCGTTGAAACATTTAGGATCCCTTTGAGATTGATTTTAGCAATGTTTTAAAATTCGATGTGATCACTAATCCAAAAAATTTTAAAGGTCAAAATGTTCAATCGATAGTAAAAATGTATTAAGCCCTTGTTTGACAATCTTGAAAATGAGGTCTTTTTTAAGGAAAATAATATTTTGAAATAATGATTTTTTGAGAATGTATGATTAAACAATAGGAAATATTTTGAATTACGTACAAAATATTTTATTGTAAAAAGTGTGGTTGAAAATGAGTTTAAGAAAAAAATTGTGTTAATAGTTGTCAAATAGGAGCTAATAAATAAAAGAAAGGGATAATTGCAGCAAAGGTC